CCCAGTTCCATCAGCATAACATACACCAAGATTATGTTGAGCACTGGCAACTCCTTGTTCAGCTGCCTTTTTATACCATTCAACTGCTTTTAGTTCATCTTTTTCTACCCCAGTTCCATTAGCATAGCATACAGCAAGGTTATATTGTGCATTGGCAAACCCTTGTTCAGCAGCCTTTTTATACCATTCAACTGCTTTTGGTTCATCTTTTTCTACTCCAATTCCATTAGCATATACAGCAAGGTTATGTTGAGCATTGGTATTCCCTTGTCCAGCTGCTCTGCACATGTTGGTTCCTTTTTTCATTCTAGTATAACCATGCACAAGTATGTATAGTGAAAAAAAATTTTCGGCGTGGAATCAGTGTTATTATTATTAAATTTTCACCCAATGTATGCGAATATATATTGGTATGTTAGCTAGCTGAGAAATGTAGTGTAACTGTTACACATATTCTGACACAGTTGCGACTTCTACTCTACACATTATGAAAGTAATTCAGTAAGCTGTGAAGTAATTGGAAGTTAGCTGGCAAGCACTTTTTGACACTCTGTTGTAGAAGACTTTCCGTTTCTATTTATCACAAAGCGAGCATCTATGTAATGCATGTTCATATATCAAACATAGATTTTATACAAAATCAAGGAACGGTCGATCAACTTCTTACAAGTGTTTATTAATCTCATGTCCGACACTTGGAATTAGAATTCAAGTTGATATACTGATAAGCTATGGCCTGGAATACAACACATCCTACCACATTGCTGGGTGCGTTTCTCCAAAAAACATCGATCAGTCTTCCCCGAAAAATCTTTGGTATCATCCTTCTTTAAGGGAAGGCTGTGAATGGCTACAAGAAAACAATCCATACTTACGATCATACCATTCTCTTGCCTCGCGGCTATTACAAGACAACGACTTCAAAAAAGAATCTGGAAGACACCATTGAATACACAAGTCAACACACTCCAACACCAATACCGGACGTCCCAACTGATAGTTATTATGAATCATTATTATTAAAGAATAAACTTGAGTACACCACAATCCAATATGGCCATGTGATTCACAATGAATATTCTCATTACACCCGCTTAGCTGTAGGGTTTCTATGTACAAAAGATGATAACAAAATATCAATCTCTTTACATGATCCCGACATAGAAGCACTTCTTTACCCCGATTTGTTTCCTGATGGACATGGACATTATGGCGAACTGAAACAAAATGCGTAAATAACTCACCGTCTACAAATCACCGCGTACCGCCTACATGTATTACAAAATTCCCTCCTTCTGCACATGGAGGGAGGCACAGTCAAATCCGAAAAAACAACCGTCTATCCTTTTAAATTCGCCACATCACAATACACGCAAAACCACCAACACCAAGATAACTGAATATGTCACCACCAAATGCAAAAATATCAGACATTGCCTCCATAAAACTCAACCTAAACCATTTACCCCTAAAATCCTACTACACAGAAAAATAACAACATGGTGTCCTTCTTCCTCCACCAGAAATTTAATAAAGCTTTTTCGAGTAAAGCCAATTAATTACTTGTATTATGAAAGAATACAAAAGTTTTCTTAAATGATAATTTTGTTGGGAGCTATGTAGTTATTTGGGATCAAGTTTTGATGAGAAGAAGGAATGAGTAGCAGGCAAATGGCAAGGATTTAGTAGTGAGTTATTGAAGAAGCCAATAGGTCGTAGATGTTTGTGATAGAAGACGAGAGGGATTTCGGAATAATAGATTTTTTAGGTAGTGTAATATGGATAGAGTTATAATATTACTTTCTTAGAAATATTGAATACGGCTATTTCATATATCGACATACTGTATATAATTAAATCAAAATAAACTTCTCATATTAATGCTACCATACACGATACAGTAACCGAAAAGCCACAAAATAAAACCCCGCCAACTCTCATACTAATATTAACACGCTAAACGAAATTTACAATAAACCCTCTATTTAAGCACCTTCCATATAAGCACGCCATGCCTTATTCCCGAGCTTGGGGATTAGGGAATTGATGCACACCCTCCATATAAGCATTGCACGGTTTTTTTGTTTCCCAATATTAATATAAGAGTTTCACTCTCCATATATGCACGCCCGTGATTTTCATGTGATTTGCACAACAGACCAGGTTACATAGCGATTTTATGTAGGAATAAGGAACTGTTCGTGACAGAGAAACAAAAGTAACAATGAAGAAATTATTTAACGTCTTTGTTAATAGTAGAAGTTAATCTTCCAACTCACGTCAATGCTCAGCCAAGTGAGCTTTCTTATAATGATTCAGCAACAGTCAGTGAGCTCACACAAATCGTTACGGATCTTAACTTAGCTAATACTATGAGTCTTGACGAGTTTTTGAATAATCCAGAAGAAGATACAGTTTATGGAGTGACCAATAATGAATTTATTCAGAATCTAGTTGAATTATACAGAATGCCATCAGATGTTCATGTTAACGATAGTGAAGTCGATGATAGCATTGAGTTATCGGTTGTAAACTGCAGCGATGCTGCAAGCAGTTTGGAGGTTATTCGTTCCTTTCTGCAACAGCAAGAAGATTCTAAAGATTTGTTGAAACATATTAATGCACTAGATCGTTACATTAGTTAAAATCAATGAATGTATGAAACAAACAACAATACACGAGTTTTTCAATATAGCTAATATATATTTGTTAATAATCATGTGCACCAATCAAATTCTAAACCTCTATTCAAGCATCCCTCTATAGCACGCTCTGCCCCATTCCCGAGGGCGTGCTTATATGGAGGGTTGACTGTATGTACGCCTAATCATTGCTGATCACGTGCAAAGCACAATTTTTATAACTCCCTAGTTGATAATATGTATAATATTATTTGTCAGAACAAAACAATAAATCTTCGACTAAAAGTTCTTTCACTGATTAATATGCACAAAACTGTTAGCCTTAATTAATACAATCACGATAGGCGTAGTCCAAAAACGTATTCTAGTTTACATATAATGGTGGATTCACAAGACATGGAAGTAACAGGTTACTCGTATTTGGTATCTGACTTACACCGTCAGAACGATTAACTTTGCAATATAGTCCATATGTATGACGAAATTATGTTTGTATTATCATTCCCAAAACGCGATTGGCGAAGTGAGGATGCTTATACATTGGAGTTGCTATTTATCGTTGCACTCGAATATCGCCCGAATACGAGGCATATTAATATAGTGCGAATGTTATCCTGTGTGCTTGCTGCTATCCAAAGCATAATTTTATAATCTGTAATTATTATACACCCTTGGCTATTCAATACAATAATACATCTCTTTCTGTAGTAATAATACCTCAGGGTATTACGCTTATGCTGATACTAAATCATATACATAATATTTTGGAATAACACGATATATCGCAGTATCAAAAACTTTGTGACGGCATATTGATTATTATTTTGCTAAAGGGGATGTACATTCATATTATACTTTGCGTTTTATTTACATTCTTACTTCTTCCTTCTCATTTTATCTATATCGTCCCGAATTTCATATTGAATCATCGCTGTTGAAGTTACCAAAAAATCCTTGGTACCTTATCAGTAAAGTAAGATATATTTCTAGTTAAAGACAGTACTAATACAAAAACGCACGTTTTTACAAAATAACTAAGCTAAATAGCAATTTCTGGTGATGAAAGATTGCTAGTCATTTATCTCGGGGTAAGGGGATTTTTGTCGCCACTTACAATGAGGATAAGAAAACATTCAAATCGAAAAAAATTTCTTAGTGTTGGTATCTGGACCATACATTAGCATGGGTGATTCAAGTTAGCTTTTAAGGATATTTCCGAACACCACAGATTGCTGATTGAATTTTCTTATTACTTTTTGTTGTACAGCTGGTGAGCACGCGATACACTAATTTCCAAAACGGATTGGCTTGGTGGAATTTCCGTTAGTCCATATTGGGTCATCTTGTAGTGGCCGCAGAATAGGCGGAGGAATGCGTTATCGTTTATCGCACCGTCTTTATAAGTGTCTGTCAGATCGATGCACGTGGGAAAGCGTCCGTATATCGACCTTGAGATTTAACTTCTTCCAACGGAACTCTTGACTGCTCCTACTGCTGTTAAACCTTTAGCGATCTTACAATTGGTTTTCACAATGCTGTGATCGGTTTTGTATACGCCACTCCTAAGTTTTTATTCAACCTCGAGTTCTTACGTCTTTTGGTGGGACTAGTTTCAAACGCCAGCGTAGATTGGGAAAATTTATCTACACTAAACGCGTTATTTACGAATTGAATAATAATCCTCGTGTCAAGATTCCACGAAATCGATGTTCCGCTAACCACTGAAGAGGAAAGGCGTTTACACTTTAACCAGTGATAGGAAATCTTCACCAGGGAACGATCGAAACAAATATATTATAAAGAACTATACAACCTATTCATTCGGCAAGAATTTTCCCGATATCGTACTGCGCATTTCAGGTGATCGATCTCACATGACTAGATCACCCTTCATTAACATTAAGTAAATTTCTGTCATCATCACCTGAATCTTATTTTCCTGTGGCAAACTTTTTCATTGGTCAATCAATTCATTTTTTTCCTTCTTGGGAAATGAGACTAACCTCATATTACCATATCAAGTAATTTTCTTGGTACATCAGTGCAACAGAAATTAATATCTTAGTCTTATATCAAATCAAACCAGATTAGACCAAGTCAGGGTCAGATCAGGCATGACCACTGCCCATCCCACCACCCTTAAAGACAGCATGCGTTTTTATACAAAGCCTCTGCTATTTTGTGTCACATGGTAAAAATTAAAAATTAAAAAAATCAATTCAACAACATTATTCTTATATGCACTTGTCATTTTCCTTGCCGTACTATTATTTCACATTAAATTAAATGCCTGCCTCAAACTATCACTAATACCAAGTCAATTTCCAAAGCTTTTGTTCCATTTTCCCTCCACATACCTTATTCTTCTATTTCTTTTATTATTTTCTCAGATTTTTTTCCCTGGAGAAAAAAGTAAGACGGATAACGTGTGCAAGAAACATCGGACAATCTACCTTTTCTCTTTTCAAACTGCAGGTTTTGATTCTCAGTAACAACCTCTCCTAGTTTTTTACTCCACTTCTTTCTACCCCGATCCCATCCTTTTCTTTCTCGATCAAAATTCTCCTCTTGCTTTATATATTTATTCCGCAAGTCACTGTTATATTTACGTAATTGAGAGGAAGATTGGAGGATACGATATATTTCTTCCTCAAGGTCTTTCACATATGTCATATCAAATAATAAATAATATAATAAAAAAAATGGTAAGTTTTTATTGCACTGCTTGTGGTCACACTAATCGAATGTTGACCGAAGATATTAATCAAATACTAATAAATCGAACAAAGGTTAGATATTAATCAATATCTATTAATCAAATATTTACCGAAATTAAAATAGAATTAGATATTAACCGAATAAAGATTAAATATTAACTGATATATCTAAATCGAATATTTACCGAAATAGGATTAGATGTTAACCGAATGATCTAGATATATCGAAACAAAATTGGATATTTACCGAACAGTCTAGATATGTATCGAAACTAGATTGAAAAATTTTCGAATTTATATCTAAATATTTTTTTTTTATTTTTTATAAATAGATCATGACTCAAAACTCTGAAAAAATAATTCGATATCTGCGATCTGATGCAACTCCTTTATCA